ACATCCACTCCGGCTTTTTAGTAGACTCCCCCTGGGCATCGCTCTTTACATGGTACCCCAGGACGCCACATTCAACGTCATTGTAGCGCACGGTCTGTTGGGGTTCATGTTCACGTTCTGCTTGTGCCAGAAGAACCGCTCCGCGCGGCCGGAGCAGTAATTGTCAATCACCTCCAGGAAATCGCTTTGTTGGACGAAACCGCAAAAGATAGCGATAGTCCATGCCGGGGCGGTGGTCTTGGCGTTGAAAGACTCCAGGAACGGTTGCACCTCCTCCTTGGTCATCGCGTCGGGAGTCTTCTCCTTGTCAAGGGCGTAATTGCAGTCGATGATCGTCCCCGTGAAGGGCAGCCTCGGGACGTCCTTCATATCGCTCATGCTGCCCTTGACGATCTTCCAACGAGGGAACATCGGCACCTTCGTCTCATGTGTGGGCTCGTCCTCCTCAAGGCCTGCCTCTCCTGGAACCTTAAGCTCCGGCCCCTCGGTCCGCGCCTCCCGATAGAGTTTGATGTCGACTTTCACCTCGACCTGTTGCAAGCCTAGGATGTGCCCCGCGCGTGGCGCCTGCGCTTCTTGGAGATTCGCCCGCGCGTTCTCGACGTAATTCAAGATCGCGTGCGGAACTTCCCCAGACCCCCCCGGCGCGCTCCCCCCTGAGTTGAAGGTAAGCAGCCGATCAACGACTCGATTTTCTCTTGGGAGCTCCAGTAGGGGGTGAACTCGGCCTTGAATGCGTCCCAGGTTTGCAATCCCGCCGCGGACACCAAGTGCTTCTGCACCATGCGTTCCTTCTTGAACTGGCTTATCATCAGGCCCCCCTCTTTTACTGACAACTCCTTCTGAATAATCAGGCGCAGATACGTGTCTACCTTGTCGAACTCCGCCTCCCCCGCCAAGCCGCCCAAGTTAATCCAGAACGTCATACCCATGGATTTGGCATTGTGGAGAAACTGAGCTTCTTCCACCAAAATGCCTGCCCCTTTAGACGAGCCCGCTCCGTGGTCCCCGCCTCCTCGTTGCACCTCGTCTTCCATCTGCAAGTAAAAAAACATTTTTAGAATGTCTTAAAATATAGAAAAGGATGCTTTGGGGGGTAAACACTGTTTGAAGCAAAAGTAAAAAGTAATTTACCTGTCGGTTGGAGGTGCCTTTTTTGCCAGCTTTCTTGGCGGGTCCCTTAGCGGGCGAAGATGAGGCCTTGCGCTTTTTGGTCTTCGAAGCCAAAGGGTTTTTCATGCCCTTCAGGTCAAACCTTCTGTAAGCCTCCATGATCTTAACGCAGAGGTCCCACGTCTGCGGCCGGAAATTGGCAATTGTCCAGTGCATGAAGTAGTGGTTGATTTGCACGCCGCCGAACACAGAATGCTTGGACATCGCTACTTCCTTCACATGCGTCTCCATCGACTGGTTCAAGTGAGACATTACGGGGTACCAACTTGTGACCCGATCGAGGTGAGCGTTGATGTCATCCTCCAGCGTCTTCACCGTCACGTCTACCTCAGGGAGGGTCTCAAGGTCTCCCTCGCGCTCAGACGTCTCCACATCCTCGATGTACTGGAATCCCTTGGGATATTTCTCGATATCCGGGACTGCAAATCCATGCTCTGATTCGAACTCCGCCATTTTTTGCACCAGCCCTCCGACCTCGTAATACCCAGGTTGATAAGAGGTACCCTCTTCGGTGTCCTCGGGGACACCGGCGACGAACTCGGAGATCAACGCATCTCGGTAAACTTTGTACACGACCCCATTCTTTTCGAAAAGGGTCGAACGAAGCCCTTGCATGAACTGAGTGTGGTCTTTGCCTTTCGTCTTCTGGTCGATTTGGGTCTGCATCTCGCCTAAGAACCGAATCATGTCAGGCGTGAGACCGATGTAGATCTTGCTCTCGAAGAACTGGAAAGCTATCTCCAACGGGATTTCCTCGTGACACTCGTCGGTGGCTTGATAACAGTGCTGGTGCCCAAAAACCTTGCCTCTGTATTTTCCCGCGAGAGCTTTTTTTATGGAGAATTCGGCACGGGGTTTGACATCGTCGATCGCAACAAGACCCGCATTGAAAGGGGCCCACGGGTTCTCCTTCCTGCTGTTCTTGATCTCGTTCACCCAGCCCCTCTCTTGATCCCGGCAGGCCTCGTACCCCGTCGCGTGGTACAGGCATCCAATGGGGAGACGAAACACACTCCCTTGCTCCGCCGCCTCGTCGGTCGACATCGGGTTCGGCCACCGGTGCTCCATCTCGATTTGCCTGCACAGCTTTGCTTTCTCCTCAAAATCCATCTTTGCTGCATGCTCCACTGTTAGCTTAGCGTGCCACCCATGTGCAGCCACCTCGGCTGCCTTCCTTGCCTCAGATGGGGTGGCCACTTGAGACATATCCACATTGGCGCCCGCTCCAGTAAAAGCTCTGGAGCCACCAGGTCCTTGAAGGGCGCGTTGGGCAGCAAGCTCCACTGCCGTTCTCCTGGCAGCCTGGGACAAGACGAAACTGTTCATTAGCTAATGAAAGCCTTCCGCCCCGGTCAGGGCTCAGGGCGCGCGGTTCGAGGCGGAAGGCGTTCATTAGCTAATGAACGCTTTCCGCCCCGGTCCAGGCGCAGGGCGCGCGTTTCGGGGCCGAAAGCGTTCATTAGCTAATGAACACTTTCCGCCCCGGTCCAGGCGCAGGGCGCGCGTTTCGGGGCCGAAAGCGTTCATTAGCTAATGAACGCTTTCCGCCCCGGTCAGGGCGCAGGGCGCGCGTTTCGAGGCCGAAAGCGTTCATTAGCTAATGAACGCTTTCCGCCCCGGTCAGGGCTCAGGGCGCGCGTTTCGGGGCCGAAAGCGTTCATTAGCTAATGAACGCTTTCCGCCCCAGTTTAGGTGCAGGGCGCGCGTTTCGGGGCCGAAAGCGTTCATTAGCTAATGAACGCCTTCCGCCCCGGTCCAGGCGCAGGGCATGAAAGGGACGTACCGAAGCCTCTACAAATGGTACCTCGCCAGCAAGTCCGAGGTCATCGATCACTGCCGCTGGTCTCCTGCTTTGCCAGAAAGGAGCTGTAATCGACGCTTTCCACGCCTGGTTTACATAGCTCGCTAGATAGAATTCTTTGCTTTTATTTTCGTCTGCTGCTCTAGTTTTCAAACTTTGAAAAGCCAACAGCCGATTTGTGTGCTTTGGAAGGCTCAAGGCTTCCTCAAAGTTTGCGCTGTCTAATTCGATCACAGTAAGCTTTCTGTTTCTGTACGCGACGAAATACAGAATTGGAGTCTCGTTCTCAATGATACTGCACGCTACGCGTTTCTCAGGAACGAGGCTACCCCCGGTTACAGTCGAAGAGGTAAATTTAGGAAAACTAAAAATTATTTCTTCATTTTCCTCGGAAGGGTCCTCAGAGTGAATCAGTAATTGCAGACTGTCCGAAGGATCGTCGGCTTCAAGGGTTCTAACAATGCTCCACTTGTTACCAAGATAGAGCTGGAAAATATGTTGAGCCCTCAGTGCTTGAAATGTTTCGAGTGTCGCCATTGCGAAATGAGAGAAATTGGCTGTCAACTGTGAAAGGGGTGTGTGTGAAAGAACTTTGAAAAAGTGATGTAACTTTAGCACAATAATAAAAGTCATTTCTGGCGGCTAAAAATGACATGTCGAATATCGATGTCAATTTTAATCAAAAATGACATGCGCTGTCGCTTTTTGATTCGGTCTGTTCAGATCAAGGATATGATTTTAAGATATCCTGGTGTCATTTGCGCTGAAATCGAGGATCGATCGATTCAGTAAGATAGAAATTCTTGGTTGACTCGCAAGTCTATATCATTTTTAGAACGTAAAAAACGGCTTCATAAGCTAATGACGGCTAATTTGGACGAAAATATGTTTTCTATTCCTTTCGATGAAGGTTGCGAGATTATCTGCAAACCGTGCCCGGGAATAGTTATTGAAGATTCCATGGAAATAGGGGCTGACTTTTTCAATCATGAGCCAATTCCAAGCACAGCCCCAAGCGCGAATACGCAATTGGTTCTTTGGAACGCGCCTTTGACGTGTAGATCGGAAGTTAGCTCTAATTCTTCACGCGTTTCCGGGTCACGCGCTTTGCGCGAAATTGACTTACAAGAGATAAAAAGCAGACTTGATACAGAATTTTCAGAGACAAGTTTGGACTTGAGGAATGAAGACCCTCTTGTTTGTTTAAATGGTGAAGTAAACAAGCAGATTGTCGTGCGCAAACCGTACGAATCCGACATACGCAAGAAACAATATACGGGCGTAATTAGTATTAAGCAGCGACGTTTGCAGGCTGACAGTATATCAATGGCAGAAACCATTAAGTGCTATTGCAAGTCGTACTGCTGTCTATCTTTCTCATCGGCAGATATTAAGTCCTTTCGCGAAAATATTTTCAGTATGTCGCAAAAAGATAGGAAGGAATACTTCATCAAAGACTTGCTAAAAAACAGCTCACGATGTGAAGACAAATTCGACTTCAAATACTTTTTGGCCAAGAAGCAGGTATGTTTATTTTTGAACTCGTTCATTAGCTAATGAACGGTCTCTGGCCAAAGCGCGACTCAACACTTAGACACTTTGGCTGCGGGAACCGTTCATTAGCTAATGAACGGTCTCTGGCCAAAGCGCGACTCACAATTAGACACTTTGGCTGCGGGAACCGTTCATTAGCTAATGAACGGCCCCTGGCCAAAGCCCGACTCTCAATTAGACACTTTGGCTGCGGGAACCGTTCATTAGCTAATGAACGGCCCCTGGCCAAAGCCCGTCTCTCAATTAGACACTTTGGCTGCGGGAACCGTTCATTAGCTAATGAACGGCCTCTGGCCAAAGCGCGACTTACACATAGACACTTTGGCTGCGGGAACCGTTCATTAGCTAATGAACGGTCTCTGGCCAAAGCAAAATTTTTCTTGGACCTTGTGATAGATTGTGCAATATTGTTCATCACAGGAATGTGGAATATTGTATGATAAATTTCTAAATTTACGATGTGTACATATTCGCGACCTTGGTCGAGTTGGTACGGCGCTAGGCTATGAACCTCGCACTCGTGGGTTCGATCCCCACTGAGGGTGTAGGTTGCACAGATTTAAGGCGTGGTGGAGAGTGCTGACGAGCACGCGACGGCCGTCCCGCCTGCAGACGTGCAGTGTTGGGGGTGTCTCCCAAGCGTCTTAATTTGGCCCGACCTATAAAAACCCTTATTATGCGTTTCCTTGGATAATGTGTTAATAATTTTTGAGTGACGGTGTCTTTTCTTTTGTAACAAGTTCTGATGTAACAAGTTCTGAACAAGAACTGATGCCTTAAGTTCTACTATATGGCTTACGGCATCAGCTACGGGTATCGGACTGCCACGACTGTCGGACACGCGTGCTCGAGGGCCGACACACGTTTGTTCATGGATTGACGTACGAGGAGGACAACCGCAAGATTTCCCTGAAACGCGAGTCGGTCGTTGCATGGCTCAAGAAATACGCTGACGAATACGGACAACCCCAACCTGACAAAGCCGAGAAGCACCTTTCGGATGGATTGACCATCGAAGAGCTGTGGGACGAGTACATCGAGGGCTTGCAAGAGAATGAGGAGAGGAAAAAATGCTCTCTCAGTTACTTCTACAAAATATTTGACGAAGATTGCAGGAAGTGGCTCAAGATTCCATCGACGAACCGATTTTCTCAGTGCGATGTTTGCGCGTCCTTCAAGTTATTGAAGGAAGGCTTAACCAAATCTCAAAAAGGTGAATATTCATGAATAGCTTTGTGATGTGTTTATATGCTTATGTAATTTGTTCACTGACCCAAATTTGTGTATCTTGCACAGCGCAATACAACGGGCCTCTCAACAAACATCATGCAATCGCACGAGCGGAGCGGCAGAAGTTCTACAAACATGGTCGTAAAGCGAATATGACCAAGAGCATTACCATGAACAAAACTTGGCATAAGTATGCCTCGGTGATCATCGATGGCATGACGCAGTGGACCACCCGACTGCCACACTTTCGACGTATCCCTAAACATCTGGACTCTAAGGACTTCCTTGACGTGCACAACATGGGGAGCATGATCGAGAACGTGGGCCGCTTTATGGATTTCAACTACGCCAACTTCAAGGACGATGCGAACTTCCTTGTCAACGTTTTGCACCGGGATATCCTCCGCATTCAAGAGCATCGACGCAACGGGGACGGGGAAAATTCATACCCGATGCCGGAAGTATTGTATGTACAGCTTGACAATATGAGCACCAACAAGAGCAAGTTGATGTTGGCATACGCAGCTTGGCTGGTGCACACGGACGTCTTTCGCAAGGTGAAACTCAACTTTCTGTTGGTGGGACATACGCACGAGAACATTGACCAGATGTTTTCACGCTTCTCCGCGCGTCTACGACGCAAGCAAGCTTGGACGCTCGACGAGATGATAGAGGTCGCACAAGAATGCTTTACGGATGGTGTAACGTGCGAGCACACCGAGAAGATCTTCGACTTCAGCTCTTGGTTTGATGGTCACGTCTTCGATTGCCACAATATTTTGGCACAGCAGGCTTTCAAGTTCAAGAAGAACGAGCACGGCGAAGTGGGCATGCAGTACAAACAGTATTCCATTTCACCCAAATGGTTACCCGAGACTCCATTGCCAAAGCTTGTTTCTACACCCCCTGTCACGGGCCTGGATACATCAAGCCGATTC